AGTTGGGCTTCAATATTGTTCATAACGATTGGCTGGATCGTCATTGACTTCGTCATCATCCTCTTGTTGTGGTTTGTCTTGCCGCGGTTGTAGATGTGCGTTGTCTGGGGGTTGATTATTAGGTGTGAAGTCATCCAGATTATTTAAGTCCGGGTTCGGCAGGTCGAGTAGGACAGGTGGAATTGGATCTTGAGACGTTCCAGGCTCACGAGGCCTTTCGTCTCACTTGGGGAAAGAAGACTCATCGAAGGTGACGTCGCGTGACACAACGATGGTCCGGGCAGTTGGATCCCAGAATCGGTAACCCTTGGTACCGATTTCGTACCCGACGAAGATCATGACTTTAGCTTTTGGCTGCAGCTTATTGACCCTCGCATCCTTATGTGTGTGGACGTAGGCTTTGCAGTCCCATACTCGAAAGTATGAAACGTCCGGAACAGTGCCATTCCATTTAGTGATTGGCGGCTTCCATTGATGATGGCGCAGAGGTTGTCGATTGTATATATGTACTGCGGTCTCTGATGCTAGCTTCCAGAACCCAGACGTCATGCCAGCGTGATGTCGCATAGCTTCTCCCTTATTCTGAATGGTCTGTTGCCAGCATTCTGCTCTGCCGTTCTGTTGTGGTGTTCGCGCCACTGATAGTTGACGCTCTATTCCGCGTTCTGCTAGGAAATCGTCGAATTCGCGGCCTAAAAACTCCCCCCCATGGTCCGAACGTATAGCCTTGAGCTTGTGCTCGGCCTGTGTTTCCGCCCAAGCAACGAATTGCTTGAAGGCAGAGAAGGCATCAGACTTCCGTTTCAGGTACCAGACTAAACCAAATGAGGAATAGTCGTCAAGGGTGGTAAGGGCAAACTTGTATCCGTCGAGTGATAATGACGGATATTCGACAAGATCCATGTGAATTAAGTTGAGGGGATGATCCGCACGACTGTCAGACGCAGGAAATGCATTGCGACGAGACTTCCCAAATTTGCATCCATCACAGGGAGTATCCCTGGTCGGAGCCGAGATTTTATCCGGGACGCCTTTGACATTGCCAGGTAGTTGAATAACTGATTTCTTCCCGGCATGTCCAAAGCGACGGTGCCACAAAGTATATGGATCGTCGGATTTGACCAACATTGATGTTCCTGGCTTAATCTCACTGGTTCTAGTGAGGACTTCAGCTTCTAGCCAGTATAAACCTGACGACTTTTCATATTCGCCCTCCATTAAAACTGTCTGCTGTGTTGGGTCTGACCCGTGGAGTAACTTAAACTTCTTGCCATCCATCTCAATACGGTGTCCGTTGTTGAGAGGCATTCTGGGTGCAAAGAACCGTTCTGCCACTTCCGGTACGTATAGTACGGTTCCTAACCAGGTATGCTGAATTCGTCCATCTGTGAGACGATGTTGCACAGCAATTTCACCGTGACCTTTAATTTCGATAGTCTGACCTTTGCCGGCCGTATGTGCATGACCTGGCTTAGGGAATTCATGATACCGAATAAAGTCAGTTTTGTACGGTGTGACATGTGTTGTACAACCGCTGTCGACCATCCACTTAGACTTGACACCCATAGCATAAAGAGAAACAGAGATGGATTCCTCTTCGATCTTAGCTACTATAGGTACATCGACTATTCGTATGGTATTTACAGTCTGCGTGGTCATCGCAGTATTGTCCTTCGCTTTGCCCTTTCCTTTCCCTTTTTTACGCTTTCCGCCACCCTGCTGCTGCTGCTGCGTGTTGTTGCTGTTACCGGAACTCGAGCCAGAATTTGCCGGCTTTGTGTCCCAGTGCTGCTCCGTCGTGTGATTCTTGCGACCACACTTCTCACATTTCTTGTCCAGGAGGGGCGCCTTTGAGACGCGCGCAATCTGAGTGCGGTTCGCGACGCGGCGCTGTTCCTCCTCGACGATCTTGGGCTTGATGAGCGCTGCTGTGAGCAGCGTAACATCAGTCTGTGTGGTGAGAATGGTACCAGCGATGGTCTGGTACAACTTAGGGAGAGCATTGATCATTAGCAGAGCAAGGAGCTGAGGTTTGACCTCTATTCCCGCCGCGTTGACCTGGTTGGACTGCTCTGTGAGCGCATCGAGTTGCGGTCCGAGCGCGGAGCTGTCAGAGAGCTGTGCATTGAACAGCTTCTGGAAGGCGACGAATGCGCCTACCGCTCCGGGTTTCTCGTAGCCGGCTTTGATCGCGGTCCATGCGCCCAGGGCCAAGAACTTGTCATCGACAAGATGACGAAGGTTCTGCACGACGTAGAGCTGGATGATGCCCAGTGCCTTGTCGTTCTTCTCATCCCATGCAGCTCGAGCTGCAATTTCCGTAGCCATGGGTGTGCCTGTCGCAGCT